TTCAGCCTTAAGGTAAGAGTTCGAGCTATTAATACTTCCTTAAGAGCTTTAGAACTATTAATAATATAATAGAGCTCCTCCTAAGCTTTATAGATATAAGCTTTAATATTAGTTACTTTCTTTTCCTTAATAGCTATAAATTTAATAGCCTTCTCCGCTATTTTACGCTCTTCTATCTCTTTCTTCTTTATAATTATTACTTCCTTCTTAATAATAATATTCTCTTTCTTATTTATAATAGAGGCTATAATAATATTAATATTCTTCGAGATATAAGAGGATAATTAATTAATAAGGGTATAGTTTAGGTAATAAGCGCTTTAAAGGCGTAAATAAATAGGATTATTATTATTAAAAGTATCTATTAATAGATTAATAAGCTTAAAATTAATAGGAAGTTTAGGGTAATTATAAATTAATTTAATAATATCTTTATTATTTAAAGGATAATTATATAAATCGATATATAAATAGAATAGGGTAAGCTTAAGGGTATTAGCCTCTTAATAATAAATAATATATCTAAATTAATAAATAATAATAACTTCTTTAAGGGCTTTATAGCTTAGAGGCTAAATTTATTAAAAAAGACTTAATTAGTGAAAAGATATAAAATAAAGGGCTAGGAAATTTATAGATTAATAAAATTAAAGAGATAATAATAAATATATTAAAGATATTTTAGTAAATAGATATTATATAATTAATTAAAAAGAACTTAAAAATTTAAATATAATTTATAATATTATAGAAATAGCTATTATTAACTAAATCGATAATAATTTCTAATATTTTCTTAAAATATTTAATTATTTTAATAAAATAAGAGAGATAATAAATATATTATTTTAATAAATAATTATATAAAATCGTACCCTTATTAATATATATTTAATTATTGACTTCTTATTAAATAAATTAAATAATTTTATAAAAGGGCTTAAAGATCTATAATTATTAATTAATATAATTAAAAGATTTAATAAATTTATAATAAAATAAACGTTTTTATTAAACTTATAAATAATATATTTAATATCGGAACGTTTAATTATATACTTAATATCTAGCTATAAAGTAAATTTACTAAAATAATATTTATATAAAAAGTTCTTAGCCTTAATATTAAGAAGCTAATAATTATAAGCTTAAATTAATTAAGGATTATATAAATACATTTTATCGAAATAAAAAATAATATCTAATATTATAATAATTAAATAGAATAATTAAGATATTTAAGGATAAATATAGGATTAAATAGATAAAATAAGAATATAATAAATTATAAGAATATCGATTATTAAAAGAAGCTAAAGATAGCGAGATCTAAGAGAATTATAAATATAATAGAGAGAACCTTATAAGATAAATATAATAAACTATTACTTATAAATTAATAATAAGGACTATTCTATATTATTACTTATTTCTAAGCTACCGCTAATATTACTATTATTATAATTTCCATAATACGTCTAACCTAGCTCTATATTATAGCTATATTAAGGAATAAGGCTTAAGAAGTAATATATTAAAGTACTAAGACGTATTAGCGAAGGCATTACGAGTTCTAGGGACTAGACCTCTAAGAGGGGAGGTAATATAAGGAGTTAGATATTAGGAACCTAACCCCTATTTATATTATCGTAGATATTTCGGCGATAAGCCCTAGTTTAAAAAGAGAAGTTAAGGCTATACTCGATAGCCTTAATAAGTTAAAGTTCATATAATAGCTTACCGATTATTCGCCGATCTAATTGCTTTCCCTAATCTAGGCCCTTAGCCTAATACCTTTATAAATTAACTATATAAGTAATTAGTATATAGTACTAGTTTAGAGAGAATTTAACTATCTTTATTATTTCTTATATATTCCTAAGTAAAGTCCTAATAGATAATAATAATTACTTAAATAATACTTTTATTATTATAAATTATAAAGTTAAAAAGAAGCTTTCTATTAGATTAATATATAATTAAAATAATATATAATTATTAAAAACTTAGTCTAAATAATAATAGAATATTTAGCTTCTTTATTAAAAAGATAAATAATATAATATAAGAGATTATTATAGATAAAGTATTTAAAGAATTATATAAATTAAGCTATCTCTAAGAGCTAAATACTCTATAGCTATTATTCTTCTACTCTCTAATAAAATATATAATATTATAGTTTAGCTTTTATCTTAGCTACTAGGAGAGTTATAAGACCCTAACTCCTATTTAAATAAGTATTTATCCTAATTATAGTAGGTATTATAAGGCTTTTAATAAGAGGCTCTAGATAGTTTATATTAGAATGAAGTAGGACCCTAGCCACCCTAATAGCTTATAGAAAATAACGTATATAAAGAAAGCTAGACCCAATTAGGAAAGCAATTAACCCGCTAGTAGAGCGCTCGTCGATTTCAAGATCAATTTGAGGTTTAAAGCGATATAAGCTCAATTTCGTCTATGCCTTCATACTACATAGTGCCATACGTAGTATGATAGGTAAGTTCTTACACCCATAACAAGTACCGAGCCCCCTGTAAGCGTGGCCCGCACCCGTAGGAGTTCAAAGGGGCCGTGCTTCCTGTTTCATTCTCTAAGCAAGCCAGCACATCGTCGAGAAATAGGTGGAAGTACCTGCTAGCTGCCCAGGGCCGCACGGGCCCAAAAGATACTTGACAGGGGGGGTAAAACTTTGGCCTGGAACTACGTACACGATATCCACACTTGTGAGCGCCGATTATCGGAGACACAAATGAATCCCAATTTTGGAATTGAGTCATGTCCTAACCGCAACCCTCCCCCACCATCAGCCTCTTACCAAAGCTTCCCCCTCGACAGTCACTGAGCTCATGATCCTTCCTCTACACCTCAATTAAGTTCGGCAGGCTCTCCGAGCGAAGAACCGACCATGAGGAGTAGCAACACTACAGAGCCGACACGAATCACCATCCTGGGGACGGATAATATTGTCGTCGACCATGGCATTTGGCTCAATTGGGTGACGAAAGATCTCTTCGACAACGTCAAATCGTCGACCTACGTTCTTGTCACGGACACAAACTTGTATGACACCTATGTGCCTCCTTTCAAACATGCCTTCGACGGCGCTGCAGACACTACCGTCAGGCCTCGTCTCCTGACGTTGGCTATTCCACCTGGTGAAATATCCAAATCGCGACAATCAAAGGCGCATATCGAGGACTGGATGCTTTCGCAACAATGTACGAGAGATACAGTCATCATTGCATTGGGTGGTGGAGTCATTGGTGACATGCTCGGCTATGTTGCGGCTACATTCATGAGAGGCATTCGCTTCGTACAGGTCCCAACGACGTTGCTCGCAATGGTGGACTCCTCCATCGGCGGCAAAACCGCAATCGACACTCCCATGGGCAAAAATCTGGTTGGAGCTTTCTGGCAACCCTCCCGCATCTATATCGATCTTGCATTCCTCGAGACGCTACCCTCGAGAGAGTTCATTAATGGCATGGCTGAGGTCATAAAAACAGCAGCTATATGGGACGAGAACGAGTTCACCGCACTAGAAGCCAATGCTCCAAGTATCGTCGCTGCTGTGAACCAGCCCACTGGGCCCGGAAGACTGTTGCCCATTCGCGAGATATTAAAGCGAATCGTCTTGGGTTCCGCTAGGGTCAAGGCCGAGGTAGTATCTAGCGACGAGCGAGAAGGTGGTCTTCGCAACTTGCTCAACTTCGGACACTCCATTGGCCATGCCTACGAAGCTTTGCTCACGCCACAGCTGCTTCATGGCGAAGCGGTTGCAATTGGCATGGTTAAGGAAGCGGAATTGGCCCGGTATCTTGGCGTTTTGCGCCCAAGCGCTGTCGCTCGGCTAGCGAAGTGCATTTCAAGTTATGGCCTACCAACCTCTCTCGGCGACAAGAGGGTGATCAAGTTAACAGCGGGCAAAAGATGCCCCGTTGATATCCTTCTTCAAAAAATGGCGGTGGACAAGAAGAATGACGGCAGGAAGAAGAAGATTGTACTGCTTTCAGCGATTGGGAAAACCTACGAGCCAAGAGCTACCACTGTCGAAGACGCTGCGATCAAGGTCATGTTGTCAGCTTCTACCTTGGTCACACCTGGCGTGCCAACAAGCCTTGCTACAACGGTGACCCCTCCCGGGTCCAAAAGCATTTCGAATCGAGCTCTCATCCTTGCCGCACTTGGCGAGGGAACATGCCGCATCAAGAACCTTCTACACTCCGACGATGTCGAGTTCATGCTTACAGCCATCACCCGGCTCGGTGGAGCTTCATATGCTTGGGAAGATGCCGGCGAAGTTCTGGTCCTCACAGGAAAAGGGGGCCAGCTCCGAGCCAGCAGCGACCCTCTTTACCTTGGTAACGCTGGAACAGCCTCCCGATTCTTGACCACCGTAGTGGCTCTGTGCAGTCCTGCGGACGTCTCGTCAACCGTCTTGACAGGCAACGCTCGTATGCAGGTAAGGCCCATTGGGCCTCTTGTTGATGCGCTCCGAAGCAACGGAGTTTCCATTGACTACCTCGGTCCAGGCAAGAGCCTGCCGCTCCGTATCGATGCTGCCGGCGGGTTTGCTGGCGGCGTGATTGAACTTGCGGCCACTGTATCGTCTCAGTATGTGTCATCAATTCTCATGGCTGCTCCATACGCAAAGGAGCCTGTGACATTGCGTCTTGTGGGAGGCAAGCCAATTTCTCAGCCTTACATCGATATGACACTGGCGATGATGAAAGCCTTTGGGGTACAGGCCGAACGGTCGAGCTCCGACCCCAATACCTACCATATCCCCAAAGGAACATACAAAAACCCTGCTGAATACACCATCGAGAGCGACGCTAGCTCGGCAACTTATCCACTTGCAATTGCAGCCATCACGGGCACCACATGCACGGTGCCCAACATCGGATCCTCGTCGCTACAGGGTGACGCGCGCTTTGCGATTGATGTACTCCAGCCTATGGGTTGCACCGTTCAGCAGACCGCAACATCAACAACAGTCACGGGACCGGCTCCAGGTGGATTGCTAGGTCTACCGCATGTTGATATGGAACCGATGACTGATGCGTTCCTGACGGCGAGTGTATTGGCAGCGGTAGCCGCCGGAACCACTAAGATTAGTGGCATCGCCAACCAGCGAGTCAAGGAGTGCAACAGAATTGCAGCCATGCGAGAGCAGTTGGGGAAATTTGGCATTGCTACAGACGAATTTGACGATGGTATCATTGTGACCGGACAGCCTCTGGATACTCTCAACCCCCCCGATGCCGGAGTTTTCTGCTATGATGACCATCGTGTTGCCATGAGTTTCAGTGTTCTGTCTACAGTGGCCAACGCCCCGGTTACGATACTCGAACGCGAATGCACGGGGAAGACCTGGCCGGGTTGGTGGGATACTCTGTCGCAATCCTTCGGCCTCCGCCTCAACGGAGATGACAAGCATCCTGGGGCCGAAGGTCACCATCAGCAGGATCACACGACTCGCTCCGTCTTCATCGTCGGCATGCGAGGTGCAGGCAAAACCACGACTGGAAGGTGGATGGCCAAGTTGTTGAAACGACCCTTCATCGATCTTGATGAAGAACTTGAGCGAAGGTCGGGCATGACCATCCCCGAGATGATACATGGCACGAAGGGATGGGAAGGCTTCAGACGTGATGAGCTGCAATTGCTCCATGACGTTATGGAGAATCAGGCAAGCGGTCACGTCTTTTCATGCGGTGGCGGCATTGTCGAATCGCCAGAGGCCCGAAAACTCCTCATTGCCTATAGAGAGAAAGGCGGCTGTGTGCTGCTGGTGCACCGGGATACGAAGCAGGTGGTTGACTATCTGCTTCAAGACAAAACACGTCCAGCTTATCGCGAAGATATCGAAGATGTCTACTACAGGAGGAAGCCACTGTACGATGAGTGCAGCAATTTTCAGTACTTTAGCCCACATCCGGCTGCTTCCGTGGCTTCCAGGGACGCGCCGCTGGACTTCAGATGTTTTGTAGATGCCATCTGCGGTGATGGTTCGAAGATCACCAAGATGACGGCCAAGGAACAAAGCTTTTTTGTTTCACTAACGGTGCCTAGTGTCGACTCTGCTGTCGATGTCATTCCGCAGGTTGTTGTCGGTTCAGACGCTGTCGAACTTCGGGTCGATCTGTTGCAGGATCAAACTCCGGAATCGGTTGCGAGGCAAGTGTCAGCCTTACGGTCTGCTGCGGGGATGCCCATCATCTTTACCCTACGGACTGTGTCTCAAGGCGGTCGTTTCCCAGATGAGGATCACACGCAAGCCCTCAGCCTTTACATACTTGCACTCCGCATGGGTGTTGAATTCATCGACCTAGAGATGACATGGCCAGAGCATATCTTGCAGACCGTCACAAATCTCAAAGGTCGATCACGGATCATCGCATCGCATCACGATCCACGAGGTGTGCTTTCCTGGAAGAATGGATCATGGACCCCTTTCTACAATCGCGCACTGCAGTGGGGCAGTGTAATTAAACTGGTCGGCACGGCGCAGTCGATGGAGGACAATTATGACTTGGCGAGGTTCAAGTCCGACATGCTCGCATCTCATCCAACGCCTATCATTGCTCTCAACATGGGTGCTCTTGGTAAGCTCAGTCGCGTGTTGAATGGCTTCCTCACGCCCGTATCCCACCCAGCGCTCCCTTTCAAAGCGGCGCCCGGTCAACTGTCTGCTGCTGAAATCCGCCGGGCATTATTCCTACTCGGAAACATCGATGCTCAGTCCTTTTATCTCTTTGGCAAGCCCATCTCGAAATCCAGATCGCCCGCACTTCACAACTCCCTGTTCGACCTGACCGGCTTGCCCCACAAGTACGGTTTGGTTGAGACGGACCAAGCGGATGAGGTCGCGGCCGTAATTCGCGAGCCTGACTTTGGCGGCGCGTCAGTCACCATTCCACTCAAGCTGGATGTAATGCCGCTTCTGGATCAAGTCTCTGAATCAGCTAAGGTTATCGGTGCCGTCAACACAATCATCCCAATCCCTCTTGATGGGAGTCAGAAACGCCGCCTTCTCGGCGACAACACAGATTGGCGGGGTATGGTGCATTGCCTTGAGTCCATCGGCGTGGCTTCTGAATCGACTGCAGGCACAACGACAGCTTCTGCGCTGGTGATTGGCTCGGGTGGCACAACGAGAGCAGCTATCTTTGCTCTGAAGTCTCATGGCTACCACCCTATCTACATGCTGGCTCGCAACGAGCAGAGCCTGGAGACCATTCGAGCGTCATTTCCGGCTGACTTTGACCTTCGAGCACTCGGGGGTCCTGCCGAGGCCTCCGCATTGGCTGTAGCGCCCACCGTGGTCATCAGCACGATCCCTGCAGACAAACCCATGGACCCATCGCTGCGCGAAACACTCGAGGTTGTGCTGAAAAGCCCTGTGAGCGATGAGCGAACCCGTGTGCTGCTGGAAATGGCATACCAGCCGCGTCATACTGCGGCAATGCGCCTGGCTGAGGATGCGGGCTGGCGTACGATTCCTGGCGCCGAGGTACTCGCTGCGCAAGGATGGCATCAAGTAAGTGACCCCAAGACTACGGGAACAATGCGACTTGTGGTTTCCTTCAACAGCCTGCTGATTCATATTGTACAGTTCCAAATGTGGACAGACATCACACCCCGATTCATCGACGCCCAAGCAGCAGTCAACGGTGACGTGCTTCCGACTTCTACCGATTAGCCACAAGTTAATCGCATTGGATTGAGCGGAATGCACTGACGGCGATTGATTGCGAAGTGCACATAGGAGGTGTCTCCGTCAGCTCTGCACGGTCCCACCCGCAGCTGAAAACATCCCAAGGATTCCGTTACACACTGTGGGAACGCCTGGAACCCCCACATCACATTGCTCAATACCTTAGATCTAGGGGGTATCTGTTACTTGTCCAAACGTGAATCAGGCAGTATTCACTAGATGAATTTGTAGTGCACAACTCGCAATTGATTATATGGCGTCTATCTCTCAAATCATAGTATCATGCAACATTAAAAATCTCGCTCATAGGTCGCTTTTGCAATGGACCAATGTCCTAATCTATACCTCCCAAACTCAGAGTACAACCATTGTGACAAGTGTGTCGCCGCGACTTATGTTGAGCGCTAAGCACTCCTTTTTCGTACTTTTCGTTGCGAGACAAGTGAATATAGTACAAGTGATCTTTGCGTTGAACTGTACGGAGACAGATGATACGGAGAGTATCGTCTCATTCGCCATCTCGTCGCACCGTTGCGGGCGCGAGCAATTGGTGTAGGAGAGATGTGGCACCAATCGACGTCATAACGCATAGGGGCGTCAGGGCATCGCGCAAGCGCCTCATCTGGACTCGTTTGCATATAACTGATGTAGTGTAATAAATGATGGGCGCGGGCATCAATGGACAGCGTTGATGATGCAACAGCATGTCTACCAAGAGCTGGTGCACCGACAAGATCGGCATGTCGCACAGACAGATGTCGTCAATGGCACCTGGACATTGGCCATGCCCAATGATATGTGCCAACGCCCCGCTCGCTCATGAACTGGGGTATCCTCCCTCGGAGACTGTCGAAACGGGTCTCGTCCATCCGAGTGGAGAAGGCGCATGCAGGGTTCAGCGGAAAATGGCGCCATGATGTCATTTGGTGGGTCCAAGTGAGTTTTCAGGGTCCTTTGATGATGTCATAGAATGGATGACAACGCGGTCGTCAAGACCCTGAAGCACATTACCCCGGCCATTGATTCCCAACCCAGAAGTGATTGGCATCTACCGCAGCCATCCTGACAGAAAATTCAAATGTGGTTTCCACGTCTGCGATATTTGCCAGGGAACTCCACATCAGGGTGACACACCCTGTAGTGTCTTGTCAAGGCGTCGGCCCGGCTGAACGTCTTTTCCTCGCTGCAGAGATCGCACCGTACTTTCTGCTTCCGAGCATTGTGAATAGTGTCTTCGTGCCGAGTAAGGTCGTATGGTCGTGAAAATATGGTGTGGCACGATTTCCCGGTGCTAGGATTGATCCTGTCGCAGCGGTGCGGCCCAGCTTGACTGTTCAGAAGATTGGCAGCATCATCCGCAGGCTCAGATTTGGTGTCGATGTGTCTCGGCGGCATGCCCAATCCATGCGGTTGGCGATGTCCCTCCCTCTTGTGCTTTTGTAACAAAACGGGCGTCTCGAAACGCAGAGTACATCCGTGATATGTGCAGGTGTATGTTCCGCCATCGGCAGCCGCACCGGCGGGCTTTTGGAGTGCCGCGGGCGTGGCTGATGAGCTACTTGAGCTAGATCCCGCAGGGCTGACGTCTGAATTTGCCTGCTGGTCTTGCTGAGCATGAGCGATGAATGGATAGTGCTGCGGAATTTGTACGCTTGCAGGTAGATGTTGCGCCATGTAGGGGAATGTGACTGGAGGCCCATTCGCAGCAAGATGTCTCGAGAAATCAGACAATTGCTCACTTGACGCCGAATTGTTCGATGGTAGCTGTGGAACCCCGAAGTCCGTAGGATCTGATAGAGGAAATAGAGATGGGAAGTTGGAATCCGCATCGCATCCCTGAAACTCTAGCATAGCATCCTTTGGCGAGATGGTCTTGGGCGTATCTGGCTCGGCTTTCATCGCTAACTGTTGCCTAGCTAATTGGGCTTGGCGTTCTGCGTTATCTTGCTCGCGCATATTGTGTGCCGAGTTAAAGCGGAGTCGTGGTGCGTGCATATTGTTCGTCATCTCTTGAACAGTACCAGGAGCCAGTGGGGAGCCGTGACGGAAGGGCGACCTGTCCCTTGTCCCTACTGAGGTGGGAGAGTGGACGGCATTCAGGTGTTGGCTGTTGGCTGCCTGCAGCCTCTGTGCGAATACATCGTTGTTGGGTGATACAGCCAGCTGGCTCTGGGGCGAAGACGCTGACACAATGTTGAAACTGGGGCTGTAGAGCTCATCGCTGTAGATATCCGTCATGGTGCGGTCTAGCTTGGGCGGTTCCGGGAGAACTGTGGGTGATGTGTGAGTATTTGAGTGCACTCCCTAATGCCACGCGTACCACTTACCAGTTCGTCGTCTTCGGTCGTCGTCAGGTTCACCCATCGTGGGTGTGGCTGGTGAATCACCGCCCGCCGTTGAACTTGCCACAGAAGTCGGATGAGATCTTGAATGCATAGGAAACTCCGGCGCTGGAAGCAATGACTTGTCTGTCCGCGGACGCTGCATTGCAATAGCAACTGGGTACCCCATGTCGGAGTGGTCCATTCCGCCAAAGGCGTGGTAGCCCGAGTACAAGCCACCTTCCTGTGTACCGCTCATGGCTTTGCTCAACTGATAGTACTGAGCACCTCCGTCGTGCGACTGGACATCGTTGTAGTGGTCATTTGCTGAGTCGGTAATGGCGATCTGCGGGTTGGACGTGCTGTGGTTGTACGGGGACGCAGGGCCGGCGGAGCCCAGTGAAGACAACGACGATTCACGCTGATGGGGGAGGCGGCCGATGGGCCTGGACGTGTACTGGTTGCCCGAGGCCCACGATGATTCCGACGGCATCAGTTCAGGAGGGTGGTTGATGCTGAGGGGGGTGTCGTCGACTGTCGTGGTAGGTGTCGATGAGGAGGGGAGCACCAGGAAGTCGGTGGTGCGAGGCCTCCGGGGAGTGGCGATGGGTGACGCCGCCGCGGGAGTTTTGTAGGGGAGGGTGAAGTCGGGAGCGAGTGTGTAGAGCGACTGAGACTGAGCAGTGTCTTCCGATGCGAACAAGTCAAAGTCAAAGTCCTGGGGGTCGACGAGGTCGAGGGGCTGGTCGTCTTGCTGTTGTCGGAATCGAGGGTAAGATGAGACCGTGAGAGGCCGGGATGATAGCATATTGTGACTTTTGTTGGAGATTTTGGGTTTAAGCGTCAGGAACGGTGGCAAAGATCGGGGGGGCGGCTTCTTAAATACAAGTCAGGAAAAGTTGGAAGATTGTCCAGGTATATGGGATGGGTGGGTTGTACATGCGAGTAGGCGGGCAGGGCCGGGTGGGGTGATTTTTTCAGGGTCCATAGACCGTACATGAATGGCGCCGAGATCCCTGACGATTAACCCATGCAAGCGCGGACGACGACAGGGATCACCGCATTTCCATCTCAGACCCGTCAGAATGCCAAGTCATCAGCAGGACTGGAGGCCCCGGAGGTACGTACCCCTGGAGCCTTTACCCAGCTAGATCACCTAGATTCCTTAGCGACTTACCAATGCAGTAGTGATCGATCGAAAGCCTAAGTCCGACATGGCCATGATGACATGGAAAGAAAGTCGGGGAATCTCGTTGTTGCTTCGGCCATCGGCCACCCCCCTCTTCCAGGTTCCGTCACTGCACCCCCCAAGCGGACCTTACTCTCATTCCCGTACTTGTATTCCCGTGCCTATCCATGTTCGCGCTCTTTGAGGCCTCGGCCTCGGCCTCGAGTCTGGCTGCCTAGATGGAGGGAGGGGGGGAGAGGACGCAAGTCTGGGTCATGCCGGCATTTGGTCACAAGGTCAGTGACTAACAGTCATTCTTTCGCAACAGCCCTACGGAGTGACGCTTCGCAGCTTGCGAGTCGAACTCGCGCATGGCCCCTCTTCCCGTGTCTGCAAACTAGGACTCGTTTTTGCTCCGAACGGCAGCGAGCCAGCTGTGCCAGGTCTTGGGAAAACGTAGCTGGCGTGGGTGGGAACGAGGAACGAAGCGAAAAGAGTAGGGAGCGGTTGCTCCCAATGTGGGGTGACGTATTCACTTTGGCTGTACCTTCGACGATGACTCCCCAATAGCCGGCGAGATTTCAGTGGGACCTACAGAACGGTCGGCCTGCCTCCCGTAGGCCTGGCCCGCTGAGGCCGAAGCCAATGCCCCTGTCGCGCTGTTGCTCGCTGTGAGCTGTGCACCGCCGCGCCACATCTGGCCATGCGTTTGTGGCTCAACAAGTCCATACATGTACATGTTCCCCTTTCCCCTCTGAACGGCGGTGCAACGTCACCTTTGTAGTAGCCGAAAACTCTCGACGGTCCAGCTACACAGGGGCCACGAGCACAACGGTCTTTCCCACACAGCCTGCATGCATGCATGGTGATTTCGGGGGAAGAGGGTGTGTGTTTTGCCTTCCTAGCTTCTCCCGTGTTTCGTCAACACCGAACGAGAGCGATAGGCTGCCTGCCTCGCCCTGTCGTTCGATGTCAATGGTCAGACATAGAGGAAAGGAAAGAACGAGCGCTCTGCCTCTGGCGTGGATGCAGACGATTGACTTCGTTTTTACGCATGCAGTCAAAGATTTTCCCATCAGGTGATTGCAAGTCTTGATGACTGCTGCCAAGCGCCAGCGGCTTGGCGTGTTATTATACGACTCCGGCTGGTGGCCTTGCCTCGGGGTAAACTGTCCTTCAGGCGACTGTCATCGTATGTCTTCCAGGCTGGCCCTAGGCCTCCGGTGCTAGGCTCCATTGCAGATCTAGATCCAAGATCGGGCGGCAGTGACTTTGTTCCCTCAGTCGTGGTCACCACGCGTAGCCTCTACCGTAGGGCCTAGTCGGCTTCGGCAGCGACAAGCAGTTCCTTCGTCAGCTCGAGTCAGGCAATTTCGGGCCTGCCGTTCCACGCATGCAGCAGTTGCGCATCGTGCGTGATGCACAATAGAACCCGGGGGGTCCAGGGGAGTATGGAGGGGGGACGTTAGCTGAGGCCGGTCGCATGTACAAAGCCGCATAGGCAAGAAAATTCGTTGCGAGCTGGATGCTTAGAAACCCTCGGAGAGGGCGGCGGAACACCGGAGATCCTGTCTCGAGAAAACTCTTTCTGGATTGGGTACCACCTCCCACACCAAAAATACCATCTGGTCTTGCCAAGATTAGGTGTGCGCTCATGTGACAGTTCCATTGGCTCAAGCCTGTGGCTGAGTCTTTCTTTTTCGGTGTTAGGCTCAGCCACTTCCCGGAAGTCTGGGTGCAGCACACTATGTATGGGTGGCCGCGGGCGCCTGCTCCACACTCCATCGGTGTGTCCGGCCGGAGGGCCACCCCCCGCAACTACCCGAGTGGGAGATTCTCCATCCGCTCATTCAAGGTCACACTGCTGTAGTAGGATGACTTTTGCAGCGCGGATCTCGCGTGGTGTCCGCGGTTGTGTTCAGGCTCTCGCTAGGTTCGGTTTCGGTTGATGAATGTGTCACGTGATGTTCGTCCCGATGAGCTGAACATGCAGCATCTGAACCTGTGAAAACCCATGGGCCGCTATATCTGGACCACGTTGTGTCAAATGGTAAAGATCGAGGCGACTTTGGCTCACGTGGTTTCGTCATGGGTGTGGTTTGATTCATGTTGGTGGAGGGATTCGGAAGGTCGGAAGCCAGCTTGCATTCGCGTCAAGTTATGGCTCTGTCGTGGGCATAGTATTGTCCATAATGTTTTATGATATGAAGATGACGACCGTAGTATCGGCCGCAACAGCAAAACGCCATATTTTGTAAATAGCAAGAAGAAAATCCCATTGGGTGACACTGCTGTATTGGCGAGCGTGGTCTGCCCGTGCTTCTTTCTGTTTACATGTGTCTCGTCGTGATGTGTAAGGTAATTAAATGCAGGGCAATATTTCCACTTCATTAGAACAAGGCCAACAGCGACCGGAACCCAAGCACAGCTATTGTTATCTCATAGAAAATCGAGCACAGGAGGCCCTGGGTACGTTGTGCTCGGTAGAGTTCGAAAATGTTTCCGTTTCCCTTCGGGTTCCAATCAGTCGACTGTGGGTCATGATCTCTCATCGCGCAAGACATATATAATCAAGAGCGGATGGCAGGAGTCCTTCATATATCCCGAAAGACATGACGCAAAGCGTGGATTGGTGACATCCAAGCCCATAGTCGGATTATGAATATAACTGCCAGTGTCGACAAGCCTTCCAAGTCTTGATGCGTGTCGTTCACACAGCCGGTTGAATGGCCGGTCACCACGTTCCATGCAGCCTTAACAGCATCCCAAACAAAAGCAGAACCTCCTAAACAAACCCAAACACATCACTGAGAGATATACACAGCAGAAGCGATCACTAACGACAAACGACATATGACCAACAACAGCTAGCAACACGTGTTGCACTACCGGCACAAATATCATGGCATTACAAACAACGTGGCACCAAGAGTAGGGACAAACCCTTCGAGCCGCGGAAGCAACCGTGATAAAACATCGCGGGTTAACAATCACAGCAAAGCATCTTGCGATCACCGCCCAAGCAGATTACGGAACTTCGTGCATAGCCAGATCCCAATTACAAGGCACAGGGATTTGGGGAAGCGCTTCCACGAAGTCTTCTCAGGACTGCCAACAATTGTAAAAGACATGACGCGTCTCGGACCATATCACGCCCATCACGTGTCGATAGGTTAGCCAGAGAACACTTGGTCGTCGTCCTGAGTGGCCACGACAATCCATAACATCAAGCGAACACACATTGCCGCAACAGGAGGGCTGTAATCAAGAACCACCAAGCATGCTGCCCTCTGCAACAAAAACACCACTACGGACACGACACATGCAGAGGAGAAGGACATCACGTTTCACATCACGGGCACAAATGATCCATGTCAAGAGCACGCCTCGGCGAGGAATTGATTAACCTCAAGCCCAAATCCATAGAGCCCAACCCGTATGGTACAAGTAAACACCCAAAAGCCAGCCAGTTCCGTAGTCATTCATGTCGCAAGAACACCCACACCCCAATGTCCATTGTCGCTGCGCCCACGCGTCTAGGCGCGTCGAACGAAGCGCGCCATGCCCCGGAAAGAGATTCATAAGAGACATGCCAGTCGCACAAAGCAAAGACGTCTAACCACCGAAACCGTAAAGAGTACGGCCCTGGCGCTTCAAAGCGTAGACCACGTCAAGGGACGTGACAGTCTTGCGCTTGGCATGCTCCGTGTACGTGACGGCGTCACGAATGACACCCTCGAGGAAGGACTTCAGAACACCGCGGGTCTCCTCGTAGATCACTAGAGGCCGTTAGTCAAATTCAAGTGTGAAGGGGAACGTGGTCTAGAGCTTACTGGCAGAAATACGCTTGACACCACCACGACGAGCGAGACGACGGATAGCGGGCTTGGTGATACCCTGAATGTTGTCACGAAGAATCTTGCGGTGACGCTTGGCGCCACCCTTGCCGAGACCCTTGCCACCCTTGCCGCCTGGATAGGTGTTGTTAGCAATGGAGGGAATATTCCGTGGGGGGAGGTGCTACGTACGTCCAGTCATCTTGTTGTTGTTGAGGGGGGTTGTGTGTGAAGGATGTCAAGTCTCAACGGAGGTTGAGACGCGTCGGTGAGATCGTGTGGATGAAATTAGAGTAATGGGGTTGGTTGGATTGGTGAGCAGGAAGAGAGAAACGCGGCGTGCGGCGGGGGGCGCTTTATACCGGAAATGCGAGGCGCGTCGTGCAACGGGATCAGCCCAAAGAATGGGGGCGCGTCGCGGTACGTATTCTTGGGGTTTGGTGAGGCAGGGAGGGGGACTTGCATGGGGTGGGTCACCCGACACAGACTTGGGGCGACGCGATTTGCCTCGAAATACCAAACCAAGCAAACCCACAACAACCCGAAATGCAAACCAGCCCCCTGTCCATTCAAACGCATCCCTTGTATGACAGACTGCCAGTGCGCTTTCGACCTGGTCGAGTCGATGGGCTGGGCACGGACCCGGCAGTTGACAGCAACACAGATCCACACATAGACGATGGTGTTGTCAAGAAAGACATGGAAGCTCTCATGTCTGGAGTGAAGCTTCAACCAGGCATACCTTCAGTCTCTTACCAGGTCAATCCACCAGACCATACCTTGCGAAGGGAGGATACGTCTTACAACGTGGCTTGCTAGCTGCGTTCAGTCTCGTGAGCTGTTGCCGAGCAAGGTCGCGAGTTCCCAAGATGCTGGCGATAATGATCATGATGATGCAATTGAGGTTGAGTTGCTTAGCATTTATCTACCTAATCATACTCCCATTTCCCACTTCTTGTTAGCCCACGTTTGGCAAGATAGGAAGTTCCTCCTGCATTAAGCAGATCGACCCCAGACACGTTTTGAGCAACGGGACAACCATGCCATCATCGTCAGTCTCCTGGACGGGATGGCAGGTAGACATCGCTCGACAGCTGGAGAGGCTCAACTCGCCTCCACGCTCGAAATCGTGGCAGCACCAAACAGGCAAGGCGTAATGCACGTTGTCGAGACGTAGACCCGCAAATGGGGCCAGGGTGCCAGAATAAAGCCAATCAAAAATCGGTTCCTTCGAGGTCCAGAATGGACCCCTGCAGGCACCATTTTCGCCAGGCCTGAATTTCAAGTTACTGATTGCTGACGCGCACGGACCAGCCTGTTTCTGTCGCGCCCGCGCGCCCCAGATCAGTCGCCCGAATCACCCAATACCGCTGCCGCCCCTCTCCTTCCTATTTATTCCCCTCCCCCTCCACTTCTCCAATCCCATCTTCTCTCCTGCATCATCATCCACTCAACGCCTCCACACCAACAACAACAACACCACCCCATCAGCCACATCGACCTTTTCACGCATTCACAATGGCTCGCACTAAGCAAAGTGAGTTTGCTCTACATTGCCTCTTCAGATCTTGACTAATCTCCTGTCTTCAGCCGCCCGCAAGTCCACTGGTGGCAAGGCCCCTCGCAAGCAGCTCGCCTCCAAGGCCGCCCGCAAGAGCGCTCCTTCTACCGGCGGTGTCAAGAAGCCTCACCGCTACAAGCCCGGTACCGTCGCTCTCCGTGAGATCCGTCGCTACCAGAAGTCGACTGAGCTGCTCATCCGCAAGCTCCCCTTCCAGCGCCTGGTGAGTCACACCCCGACACTGAAATGTCTTGGCCGACATGCTAATCAACATCCTTTTGCAGGTCCGTGAGATTGCCCAGGACTTCAAGTCCGATCTCCGCTTCCAGTCGTCCGCCATCGGCGCTCTTCAGGAGTCCGTCGAGTCTTACCTCGTCTCCCTGTTTGAGGACACCAACCTGTGCGCCATCCACGCCAAGCGTGTCACCATCCAGTCCAAGGACATCCAGCTTGCCCGCCGTCTCCGCGGTGAGCGCAACTAAGCTTTCGTCTTTGGTCTTTCTTCTCGGCAGGGTGGTTCATGACTCGTTTGGGAATGCTTGACGAAAGGTCCGTCGCAGGGTTTAGGGGATCAGGCGTTATCGAATGAGTGTTTTTACGCGACAGGGCTGTATATTACCCGCAGTATCGGCAGCATTAGCCAGCAAGCTGCGCAACGGAATGCAAACATTATGATCTAAGTTTTTTTTCTTCTTTTTCGCGCACGATCTTGTCTTTGATTGTATCCTGCTGCCAATGCGTCTTGTCACTGTTGCTGTACACGTGGCTTGACGATGCGCGGTCGCCAGCTACGACCCTCACGCGTCGACTGTTTTTCTGGGACAACCAGGTTACGGCGCGCCTTCGTTTGCCACTACCGTCTAGCTCTGTCGAACCAGGCAGCAGTGACTCATCCAAGTGTCACATGAATTTGTGCTGAGATGTCTGCCCTGCTGCCTACACCCTGCCGTAATGCAAATCATGTCGACCGCAGTTGATGCTGCAACAACTGAGGCTTCGCACCGCCACCCTGCGACTTTCCTACAGACACGTCTTACCAGACCATCATGTTTTCCACAACTCCTCGGTTGTCACGTGTGTGCCAGTCATATGCATGATGGTAGCAGTGCGCACTTGGTCAGTGATGGGCTCTTGAGTGTAGCAAGTTAAGTTCACCCTTATAATACACACTACTGAACTGCGCCTGGCGGCGGCTCGGGGAGGCTCGGGTCGCAGCATCAATAACTGGGCCGATCAGCGGGGATTATATCTGACTGCTCACTAATCTTCTGTTAGAGATGCTGCATTTTTCTGATGATGTGTGTTCGCCTCCTGGTATACAGACATGGGCCGCCATTCAGGCGACTCGTTTCACATACGATGCCTCGTCTCTGCCCAACATGACCGTCTACTTCACACTACTCATGTAAGTTCCTCCAAGCACTGCGTTTATTTGACAAGTACTGTTACATGCCTTTCGCGAGTGCCCAGAAATTGTCCATCTTCGCCCGTGACAAAGCATCCTTCGCTTCAGAGTCTGATTCGCACACCTTGCTGCCCCATTTGCGGAATGCCCGAGCTTTCTCTTCACCCTCGAAAACCAATTTGCATTCGTTCGATGACATGTCTTTCAGGCCCCCTTGCTCGTTTTCAGCAATGAGCCAGTCCCTTGCAACCTGCGGCGGCCCGCTCTTCTCGCGTGACGGCGAATTCTCCGTCCAATCGATGCGATTGAGCATGAGTTGCTTGTATTTCTTGATGCTGTGCTCACCTCCCTCGACGATGACCAGGTTCAGTCGGGGATGCATGATGCAGATTCCGGTCAATGAGTGCTGCTCCGCGTTCTTTCCGATCTTGAAGCGATGTTGTCCATTGGCCAGGCTGTTGATCCGGAACACGGCTATGTGAATGCCACTGGCGGCGTCCTTCTCCTGGTTGGCGGCGAGCTTCTCGTGTTTTTGTTCTTTCGTCAATTTTCTCTCGTCGTTGGCTAGCTGGTGAGTCTGCTGCCGTTCTGCGATCTGACGATTGACCATGGTCTCCACGGCGGTGGGATCCTTGACGGCCGAATCAGCGTAAACGCGCATCATGTTACTCTTCTTCACCTTGGGGGGTGGTGCCGGAACAAGACCCAGTCTAATCTTTGCTTGCTGCTCCTTGAGCTCAGCCATGCGCCTCTGCCTGCGCAGTTTCGCCTGCTCCTTCGAGGTCAGATACATGGCTTTGGGGGCCGGAGCCTTTCGATCTTGCGGTGGCTCCAGTGCCACTGGATGCTGAATATACTCCGTGACGATACTGTCTGGGCTCTCAATCTTGAGGCGCGCAGCGTCGTCGATGCTGTCGTAGTTGCCATCCACCAGTCCCTCATCCCACCATTCGATCTCGGGAGGGGCGTCCACAATCAGATTTTTCTCCAGATCCAATTCGTCGTCGATGCCAGCCTTCCTCGTCTGCGCTGCGATGCGCTTCTTCATTGCTTCGAGAGCAGCCTGTCGCCTCAAAGCGTTGGCCTGTTGGATGTATTTGCCCTTTTGATTAAAAACAAGCTGGCGTGATTGTCGTTGCTTCCCAGCCGATGGCTGCGCGGCCAGTTGTTCATCGAAGTATGGGTTGCTGTGCTGGTCGGTACGGTTGCGCAGCAAGTCATGCGAGGTTGTTGAGGTCCTCGCCCCCTTGGAAGCATGCGCCGGGGGCCTCTGATTGGCATTACGAACATCTGTCGAAGAGCCTGACGGTTTCCAGGACCCTAAATCCTCCAAAGCCGGATGGAGGCCAACATTCAGCCCACCCTTGGCTTTACTGCCTCCGATCGCAGCAGCCACGCGAGCCTTGAGTGCAGCCATCTTGTCAGCTACGGACTCAGGCTTCTGTATGCGTGAAGCAGCATCGTGACGAGGCCCGAGACCAGGCGACTGTTGCCGGCGATCCATCGAGAAACTGTCTCCTGGATGGAGGTTGCTAATTATGGTATGGGCCGAGCCAAGTATTTTCTGGGCGTGCGTGGCGCTTTGAAGTCTAGTTTCGGTCGCGAGAACGAAAAACTGCTGTTCTGGTCGGCAAGTGCGAACGCGACGCGGTTTGAGGACCAGACCCGTTCTATGATGAGGATCAGTCGCGCTGAAAAGACACCTGAATATGGCTGGTACGTAGGTAGGCGCAGGCACGTTCTCGCTCGGAGCCGCAGAGACAAACCCGGCAAGACCTGCGCCACACCATTGCAATCCGTATAGCCCCACACATCTCAGATAAGGCATGTTGCTATGTTATCACATTGGCCGATCCACCTGAGCAAACGCAGACTGCCCCACCCGGCATTTTTTCTGCCAGAATCTACCGCCAAAAAAAATCCCCTCCAAGCTTTCAATGCAGCCGACGTGAGAGTAAGACGGATCATTCGCAAGACAAATTGAAGGCGCGCCTGGACTTTTGCCGCTCTTTACGACAGCCCGGCGGCCCAAACGTGTTTTCTTGCCTGGGATGGTCCTGAAGACCTAGCGGCGCAATGAACATCTCGCAACCTATCTCGTCCACCGTCGAGACGGTTGAATTTACCTTTCTTACCGAGACGGAGATCAGAGCAATCTCGGTCAAGAGGATCGAAAACGACAGCACATTCGACAATCTTCTGAACCCGGTCCCCGGAGGCCTCTATGACCCAGCTCTTGGCTCCTGGGGTGACTCTATGTACGTCCACGAACCAACGCGACATGATCGAACTCTAACTTTGCGGCGGTGCTGACTCTTTCCTTGTCCAGCTGCTCGACATGTAACCTCAATCAATCCTCCTGTCCGGGCCACGCGGGCCATATCGAGCTCCCAGTTCCAGTCTACCACCCCGTATTCTTGGATCAAGTCCTGCGGCTACTACGGGCGCAATGCGTTTATTGCAAAGGCCTCCGCCTCCGTCAACGCGACGTTCACCTGTACTCGTGCAAGCTGCGACTCCTACAGCATGGTCTGCTCCAAGCTGCCCACCTGATCGATGCCGTCGGAGAGGATTTCCAGGGCCTTCAGATCCCTGGTGTGACCGAGACTGCCGAAGCGGAAGAGGAGGGCAGTGGTGCCGACAATCTCATCCGGGCCCGGGAGTTCTTCGTTAAGCGCCAACTTAAAGAACACAAAGCCACTGTCGGTGATGTGCGTAAAGGAAAACACGAAGGTGCGCTGGAGATTCGCAGAGAGCTCATTAAGGAATTTATGGCTGCGATTCCGAAGCCAAAGAAATGCGACACTTGCGGAGGCATCTCGCCTCCCTACAGGAAGGACGCCTTCGTCAAAATCTTTGAGAAGCCTCTATCCGAGCGAGATGCCGCAAAGATGGCGCAAACCAACCTTAGAATCAGAGACGCCATGACCGCAGCGACGCCAGTGTCCAAGACAAAATGGAATGGATATACATCGGACGAGGCCATTGCTGATGTGGACTCCTCAGCATCCGACGCTGACGGGGATGTCAACATGGCCGAACCCGACTCCGGCTCCAGCTCCGAAAGCGAGGGACAGGCTGCCAAGGTGTCTGGAGGCCAAACAAAAGCTTCTGCGCGCAGCCAACGATACATCACGGCCATGGAAGTACGAGAGCGCTTGCGAGAGCTATTCGACAAGGAGCAGGAGGTTCTGTCGCTTATTTACAACTCAAAGCCTCTCAAGAAGAAGGCCGGAAAAGTTTCTGCGGACATGTTCTTCCTACAGACGCTCCTGGTCCCTCCCAATCGATTCAGACCGGAGGCCCGTACAGGTGACTCGGAGATCTCTGAAGCGCAACAGAACTCGCTGTACAAGCTAGTGCTCCGAAGCTGCGGGACGATTGCCCGTGTCCACCAGAGCATCGGTGGCGCGACGACCGAGCGACGTGCAAGGACAATGACGGACTTGCACCAAGCGTGGACCGATCTACAGAACGCTGTCAACTCACTGATCGACAAAGATAAAAACCCCGTGATGGGTGCCGCCGCCAAGAGGAACGAAGAGGGCATCAAACAGAAGCTGGAAAAGAAAGAAGGCCTCTTCCGCAAAAACATGATGGGCAAGCGTGTCAACTTCGCTGCTCGTAGTGTCATTTCACCAGACCCCAATATCGAGACCAACGAGATTGGTGTGCCTCCTGTCTTCGCACGGAAGCTGACGTTTCCCGAGCCCGTCACCAGTCACAATTTCAGAGACATGCAGCGAGCTGTAATCAACGGCGTCGATAAGTGGCCCGGCGCGGCAGCTATCGAATACGAAAACGGGCAGATCACCAACCTCCGAGGCAAGTCGGCGGACGACCGAATTTCCTTGGCCAACCAGCTTCTCGCGCCAACCGATAGCAACATGAGTAGTGTTAGGAACAAGAAGGTGTACCGACATCTTACAAACGGAGATGTCGTGCTCATGAACCGTCAGCCGACATTGCACAAGCCCTCCATCATGGGGCATCGTGTACGTGTGCTGCCTGGGGAGAAGACGATTCGAATGCATTATGCCAACTGCAATACATACAATGCCGACTTCGACGGAGACGAAATGAACATGCACTTTCCGCAAAACGAAGTGGCTCGCGCAGAGGCGCTGCAGATTGCAGACACCGACCACCAGTACCTTTCAGGTACTGCCGGAAAACCACTTCGAGGTCTCATTCAGGATCACATTTCAGTTTCGGTCTCTCTGTGTAGTAGGGACTCGTTCTTTACACGCGGTGATTTCCAGCAGCTAGTTTATGCCGCTCTTCGGCCCGAGAGCGGGCACATTCTCGGCGAACGCCTCGAACTCGTCCCTCCTGCCATCATCAAACCAGTCCCAAGATGGACGGGAAAGCAGGTCATCACAACCATTCTCAAGAACATCAAACCACCGACTGGCGAGGGCATCTGGATGAGTGGCAAGACTCAGACACCCGCCGATCGCTGGGGTAAAGGCTCTGAAGAGGGCATAGTTCTTTTCCAGGACGGTCACTTCCTGCACGGCATACTCGACAAGGCACACCTTGGTCCAAGCTCTGGCGGTCTCATTCATTCTGTTCACGAGGTGTATGGCCCTGCTATTGCTGGGAAGCTTCTTAGCAGTCTCGGCAGACTTCTTACGAGATATTTAAACATGCGAGCCTTCACTTGCGGCATGGATGACTTGAGGCTCACACCCGAGGGAGAACAAACTCGACGAGACACGCTCAGGGAGGCCAGTGACATTGGACTACAAGTCGCGACTAAGTATGTCTCTCTCGGAGACAGCAACCCTACCAGCACGGATGCTGAACTACTCATCCGCCTCGAGGAGGTCATGCGCGACGACAACAAGCAAGAAGGCTTGGATATGCTCATGAACCAACGCAGCGGCGAGCTTTCACAGGCCATCACAAAGGCCTGCCTTCCGAGTGGTCTGGTGAAGCAGTTTCCCAAAAACCAGATGCAAGCCATGACCGTGTCTGGAGCGAAGGGTGGACCAGTCAACGCGAACCTCATCTCGTGCAACCTGGGGCAGCAGGTCTTGGAGGGCAGAAGAGTGCCATTGATGGTCAGTGGCAAGTCACTGCCCTGCTTCAAACCGTTTGACTCTAGTGTCCGGGCCGGCGGCTACATTGTGCAGCGCTTCCTGACTGGGATTCGGCCACAAGAGTACTACTTTCACCACATGGCCGGACGCGAAGGTTTAATTGACACTGCCGTCAAAACATCTCGTTCCGGTTACCTCCAACGCTGCATTATCAAGGGCATGGAAGGATTGACAGTCTCCTACGACTCTACTGTCCGCGATGCAGACGGCACGCTGATTCAGTTCTTGTACGGTGAGGATGGCCTGGATCCCACCAAGCAAAAGTACTTGACAGATTTCGGCTTCATCCTCCGCAACATCGAGTCAGAGTCGGCGCAGCTGGGCTTTAGCAGCGACTTCCGGGAGACGCTGGCCGGCAACAAGGACAATATCCTGAAACACATGAAGAGCGCCATCAAGTACGCCAAGGCGGGCAAGGTTGGAGGCAAGGACCCTGTCATCTCCATGGTCAACCCCGCCCGAGTTGCCTTTGCCACGTCGGAGAAGTTTTACGAGAGCATGACAGAATACATCAAAGAGAACAAGGATGGCCTAGTGCGCGAGAAGGGAGAGAAGCGCCCTGCTACGTCCTTCATTCCCAGCGTGAGCAAGAAATCTGCAGAGCTTGTGCTTGCCGCCAAGTACATGCGGTCGCTGGTCGAAGCTGGCGAGGGTGTCGGCATTGTGGCCGGCCAAAGTATCGGTGAGCCATCGACACAGATGACTTTGAACACCTTCCACTTGGCTGGTCACTCCGCTAAGAACGTCACGCTTGGTATCCCTCGCCTGCGAGAAATTCTCATGACTGCGAGCAAAACAATATCAACCCCGTCCATGACGCTCTTCCCTATCGCTGAACTCTCAGCGGCAGAGTGCGAGGTCTTCCAGAAGTCCATCAGTGTGCTACCCCTGGCACACGTGCTCGATGTGGCGTCTGTGAACGAGCGAGCCGGCAAGGGCAAGGACGGCTCGCTGCACCGACTTTACGATGTTCGTCTCGAGTTCTTCCCATCCGAAGAGTACACCAAGGCATATGCTATCGAGGCAGCAGATGTGCTGGCTGCTGTCGAGAAGAAGTTCTTGGGCCATCTGCTCAAGATGATGCTCAAAGAAATCAGGAAGAAGACGATGATGTCGAGTGCAGCAACACCAGTCGTGGGCAGCAAGGCTGGCGCGGTCGAGATGGTGACCGGCTCAGGAGCACGCCCCGCCCCGCGTGACGAGGACGAGGATGAGGATGACGCAACCAACGCCAAGCAGCGTGCCAACCGCTCTGAGGCTATTTCGTACGGACCTAACGACGACGACGATGACGCTGTGCAAAACCAGATGGATCGCGAGGCATCCCCTGACGAGGATGAAGGCTTTGGAGGAAGCCCTCCTCCGGCTGGTGCGAGACGCAGCAGCGGCAACAACGACGACGACGACGACAATGGACAATCTTCCGAGGACGAAGACAGCGGCAGGGCTGAGCGTGTGAAGGAGCGCCATGCTCATGTGACAAGATTCCGCAGTGACGAAGTGTCGGGCAAGTGGTGCGAGTTCACGCTCGAATTCGATGCCAATACACCCAAGCTGCTTCTACTCGACATTGTACAGGCTGCTGTCAAGAAGACCGTTGTGCAAGAGCTGCCCGGTGTGGGAGCTTGTACACTTGTCTTCGACCACAAGGTCACCGATCCGGAGACGGGCAAGGAGAAAGATGTGCCAGCGATCCATACGTCTGGCGCCAATCTCCGGATCATGCAGAAGTACAGCGACTATATCAACCCGAACAAGACGACGACGAACGACATTGCTGCAGTTTTGGACGTGTACGGTGTGGAAGCTTGCCGCAGCAACATCGTGCTCGAGCTCGGCAATGTATTCGGAGGTCACGGCATCTCTGTTGATAATCGCCATCTCAACCTCATTGCCGACTACATGACGAGAAATGGTGGCTACACGCCTTTCAACCGCAATGGGCTCCGCGGTAATGTCAGCCCGTTCACCAAGATGAGCTTCGAGACTACGCTGGCTTTCCTCAAGGACGCTGTGTTGGATGGCGACTGGGACGATCTGACGACGCCCAGTAGCCGTCTTGTCATGGGACGTCTGGGCAAGACAGGAACGGGGGCCTTCGATGTGTTGACGAAGCTGCCGACGCGGCACTCGATTTCTGCGGCAGAATGAGGTTGCACATAGGTAAAAACAAAGGGGGGGGGTGTGAGTTGGGCAAGGAGTCAAAGCCGTCAGTCAGTATGTACTACTTTTGCAGGTGTTGAGTGCGAATTCCCTGACAGGCGTTAATACATGGACATGTTGATCTATCTCCCTACGCACGCTGGCTCCCATCGCACGAGTGAATCACCCGTGACGTTCAGCAAATCATGTCATATAGCCACCACATGTTGATCGGACGTTGCAGCTTCGTTCGTTCGGCCGTCCGCGGGATCCTGTACGCCGAGTCGTGTGCAGGGAGGTGGCTGGGCGCAACTGTAAAGGCAAGTCCATGGCCCTGGCTGGCGCCTGCCTTGGATGGTTCGATGCGCGATCGGAACTTGACCTTTCCTGACTTTGACTGACAGGGATAGGGTCCCTGAGCTGCTGCCTGGGTATGGTCCCCTGGGCAGGGACGGTAACGAGGTACTGTAGGTACCTTACGTAGCCGTACCACGACCAATCGCCGGTCGTACCAGTGTGCAGGCAGGGAGTTGTGGGCAGGGAGTTGCGGGCAGGCATCGAGGCGCAAGCCCGGCCCAGGGCCTCAGAGGTGACGTTCCGTGACAGTGTGCAGGTGCAGCCCATATCAGGCCCAAAGGAGCCAGGAACTGACGAGCCATCTTTCCCGAGGAGGTGGCTTGATTTGCTGACGGGTTCGGGCTTCAGGGTCCCTTCGCCAGCAAGGCCAGCGGGCCAGCCAGCCTTACAGGGGGATTGTCTTCCTCCCCTGCCGGAACTCCTCCCATTCCTGCTCACCTTGCCAGGATGTCTACGAGGAGGGTGGTGAGGTGAGGTGCAGTGAGTGGCTGAGCAGCTGCCTGGATGGGCCCCCCCTCTATTGACATGCCCAGCTTGTTAGCTTCCATGTTGCCGGCTGCTTTATCCTACTGGTGGGGTTAATCTGCCCTCCATCGCTGTTGCAGCTGGCCCCATTGCCCCTCTGGAAGAAGAAGTCCTCGTCCGATTTCCGATTGCCTAGCGGGTCCTCTCCAGGTGAGCTCATTTAGCCTCTGCAGACAGCGCGAGGTTCTCTTACAGTACCTCCAGCCGGTTCGACGACGGTGTCACACTCTGGTGATGGCGCCAACTTGCAATCGTCTTGTCACACAAGTTCTGACGGCGAAATCAAACAATATGATAAGCAGGGACGACATGCCAATGGGTTTGTTCATTATTTTTCTCTCGCGAGACACTATTCATCTTGCTTCCCCTTCAATCCCACTTCATTAGAGGCTACAGTGCCGTTCATCCACTTGTGTCGTGTGTGTCGTATGGGTATCAAGATGGTACTTCGTAGATGCCCTTCCGGTGCTTTCCCACGTATTAGCGTCCTACGCCCTCCGTTTGTTGCAGTGGCGTCTGCTTTTTCTTCCCCATCAAGCCGTTGGCTCATCCGGACGGTGCTCCACCGGGGACAGTGAGCTCCGTCCTTTACATGCGCCGTTGAGATCCCGCGTCGCTGGCCGGGCCCATATGTCTTATGCCCAGGCTGGACTGTGCCGGAGGGGCCTCGCCACCACCTGCTGGCCCTATAAGGAGAGGGGGCAGTGTCCCATGAGAGGGCACGCCGTATTCCGCCGCTGCTGTCGATGTCCCGGGCAACTGTCGCCGGCTGCTGCTCGAGGAATTGTAGCCTTCAGAGCGCAGGTCAAGTGTACCGAGGTCAAATCTTCGAGAGCACCCATCTTCCATGTGTCTGTCGTGGCAGTATGTCAGCAAGTTTGGCCACGAAAAGTCTGTTGCCTCTAGAGCTTATCGACAGCGCATCCGACGTACCTGCGAAGCGTGTCCTTCCTGGCAAAGAGACGGCTGCAATAGTCACACTTATGGTTGCGTTCCTTGGTGTGCACGCTCTGGTGGTGCCTCTGAAGATCGGTTTTCCGCACGAATCTCTTGTTGCAGTCACCAATCTGACAAGGAAAAGGGTACTCTCGCTTATCATCGTGGGTTTCCATGTGAGCCTTGAAATTGTAACTCCGGCTGAAGAGCTTTCCGCAGCCCTTGACCTCACACTGAAAGTTGGCCTCCTCGCGTGTTGTCAGTCGCCGAGGTGCTCGGCGCGGCCGGTTTTGTCTTGCTTGCTGCTGTTGATGCTGTTGATGCTGTTGCTGCTGCGCCGAAGCCTGTTCTAGACCACCCATATGTCCCAGGCCACCGTCGTAGCTAGTTGATTCCACATCCATGTCTGACCTGGCCCAGTGAGGCACGTGTCCACTGGAGAAGTAGGCCGGAGCCGAGCCGGAATAAGGCGTCGTGTCTTCTGATCCGTAAGATGCAGTGCCCGCCCGCGGCGAGGTGTAGCCGGATAGATCGATGCCTCCAGAGCCAAAGTCGTTATACGTCTCCAGCTTGATTCTTTGCCCTGAGGCAACGCTCGATGTGTGGCCACCGCCATGCGGAAAGGGTAAAGCAACCCTTGAAGATGCGAGCGGCGGCGAATGAGCCATACTGGAAGGGGGGGAATGTAGAGCATCTGCCGAGCCCGACGCGTGGGCACCGGGGGGTGCTGGGTAGGTATCGTGCCCGTACGAGGTATGCATATGGGCGTCGTAGCTGCCGAATGGGTCATAGTCGAGAGATACTACATTTGGGATGGTAGAGGCAGAAGAGGCCAGGACAGGAGTTGCAATGCTTGACGATGACCATTCCGACGAGGCTCTGCACGCCAAGCGTGGCAGGGTGTTGTCCGTGTCCAACGAGAGGGCCGTGGAGCAGGCGGGAGGGGCGCCATATCCAGCAGCGATTCTGTACCGTTGGCTCAAGAAGCCCGGCGACGGGTAGTCCAGGGAGGAGCTTTCTGAAGCGCAGTACGTGTTGGGAGGAGAGACCGGAGACCTCGTAAGGGAGGGGGGGGTGAGATCCATGTCGCAAGACGGAATACAGGTTGGGCTCTGAAAGGATTTCAGGAGGTCGCCAGGTCCATGAGAAGTTCCTCTGGCAAGCCGCTCAGACAACGTGAGGGTATCGTGAGCCCTTGACGGAGGCTTGCGCGCTGTCGCGGGTCCTGGACAGTGGTCGAGTAAGACAAGCTGAAGTGGGAGCCGCTTTCCCGGGGAGATGGGCCATGGAAGGTACTTTTATCGCACGGCAACAACGTAGGGTAGCGGGAAACATGATGGGAGGCGCATGGAAGGATCGCAACCGACAGGGCTGGGGGCCGCGGGGATGCGAGAGAACGGGGTGAAGAAGTTGGTGTGATGCCAGGCTGGGCAGCTTAGGGTGTCTCGATACGGCATGAAGCTGCGAAGACCAACAGACGGACAGGGGTTGGAAGACAGGGAAATCGAGGGCAGCGAACCACCTCATTCGAGCACCTGCACGATTACGGGCAGGTCGTCTGAGGAGCAGTTGACTCTCCACGCGTTCGTCACGGGTGCCAGATTATTCAAACCCATCCCCAGGCCGTCAGACTCTCAGAATGCCAGCCGAATACCACTTGTGCAAGTCTCTTGATGATGGCAACTTGCGATTCCAAGCTGTTCCTGTAGCATGCGTGATGGCGCGATCCAAGTGACAGACCTGATCTGACAGAGTCTGGAGCAGGCCAGACCATACGTACGGAAGGAAGGGTCGACCGGGATGTACAATCCAGTGCCAACCGCGACCCGAGTGTGGTCCCACCCGGGCGGTGGAAGACAACAAGAAGCACCCTAGAGATGCAGTGCTAATTGTGGACAAGGGGGGGAGGGATGCTGAGCGGGTTCGAGGATAAATTGGGGGACGTACATGGTAGTGACCAAAGCAACACAAAATATGTATCCCTGCTTGCTCATCTGATAGGGCTGGATGGGCATGTTCCATCGTGCCGTCACGGAAGGCAAAGTAGTTCCAAGAAAGAAGTAGGGCGTCTGAATGGCCTGGCTGGCTTAGGCCGCATCTCATGTCACCGACATCTGTCAAAAAGCCGGACACTTGCGAATGGAGCCGCTTGCGATGCCGCCTCGCGCTGAACAACCGAATAAATCGATACCAATGTACGAAGCATGGTTCTGGCACTAATGGCAGAGCGCGAAAGGAGGGCGAGCCAGAGATGCCAGAGAGTCCGCCATTCAGCAACGGCCGTTGGTCGTACCTAGTTAGTAGGTAGGCAGATACAGGGCCCAGCCCCCCCCCCCCCCCCCCCGCAGGCTCCATGGACATCGCTTACGCAGCGGAAACCCAGGGCATGGCGAGGGCGGTTTGGTGGAAAGTTGGGGGCCAAAACAATGTCCAGCGAGATGACAGCTTTGATCTGTCCTGGCCGGATGTGCGGTTGTGCGGGCTTAGAACCCGCGACTGTGTCCACATTTGTCGGCTGTGGAAAGACTGTTTCGAACCAGGGCTGTTGCCTGACTGGGTACTGACAAGTATGGTGATGCCGATTATGACGAAGGCAAGAGACGGAGGCCTGCGTTGGCTGCGGTTGTTACCTCCATCAAGCCGTCTCGCGTAGGCTTTGTCTGGTACTGACTGGCTGGCTACCTAGAAAGGGGAGGTCGTCGCATTGTCGGGCGGAGGCTAGTATAGATCGAGGCGCGCCGTAGTAGGGCCGTTGGTACTTTTGTAGCGTGGGATTTTACCCACGTCAGGTAGCGAGTACAAAGGCTTCAGGGTGGCTCTGTATCCGACTGGTATTTGACGGTCGTAAAACACGCAGATTAGCTCTGGTGCGGTACTTAGCCACTACCCCTCGGGGGACACAATGTGTGTATTCAGCGGGCCATGTACTCTGTCCACTCCTGGGACAGCTGGCACCCGAGTACAACGGATAACTGGCGGATCGGACGCGAGAATTTTGGTCCGGGGTGCCCTTGTCTCTGTCAGCCTTCACCGTGGCCCATTGGGACACCCCGAAACTCCTTCAGTCATCTTGCACAGTTTGGAGTGGAGTTCAGAGGGACCTTGCAAAGCGTCAAGCACCGGGAGAGACGCAAACCAAGGCCGCCACTTTCTATGTGCAGCGCACAGCATTACACTGCCACCTCACGTGT